CCCCCTGTTCCCGCTCCGTCTGGTGTGTCCCACGCTACTCCCCCCCCCTCGGTACCCCCCCAGGTCTCTCCTCCTTCCCCACAGTCGTCCTCACAGCCTCCGCAGCAGCCGTCAGCGCTTCCTTTACCGGCCACTGCGGACTCTGAGGGTGTTGGTGCTCGAGGTGAGGGCTCTTGCGTTGCTCGCTCTGGGGGTGCTGGCGTTGGAGCTGTTCGTGCACCTACCGGAGCCGCCCGTCTTGGGGGTGTTGGCGTTGGTCCTGAGCGTCCACCTGCCGCAGCTACCCATTCCAAAAATACTGGAGCTGGTGGTGGTGCTGGAGCTGGTGGCGTTTCTGGAGCTGGAGGGTCTGGGACTGGTGCTGGTGCCACTGGAGGCACCACGACTGGGGGTGCGGGTGCCCCTCCTACAGGTACTGGTTGTGCTACTGCAGGGGGTACTCGCTCTGAGGGTGCTCAGTCGGAGACTGTCGAGGGCGGAGCCGGTTCTTCTTCTTCGTCTCCTGACACCACTCCTCCTCCTCACCCCTACCCGACTCGTTACCAGGCCCTTCAGCGTCTTGAGCGTGAGGAGCAGCAGCGTTTGGAGCGTGAGAGGTTGGAGGTTCAGCGGCGGGTGGAGCGTGAGCGGTTGGAGTTGCAGCGGGAGCAGCAGCAGCAGCAGCAGCCGCCGCAGCAGCAGCAGTAGCAGCAGCAGCAGCAGCAGCAGCCGGAGCAGCCTCCGGCCCCTGTTTCTGGCCTTCGGGCCCTTGGTCTCCCCTCCTCTCCTCCTGTGTTCGGTCCTACGTTTCCTCCTCCGGACTCAGCTCCGGCTGTGTTCCCTCGTTCTCAGTCTCCTCCGTCTCCCCCTCCTCTCGCCCACACTTGGGCCTCTCGTCCTCCTCGTGCTCGTCCCTCGTCACCTGTCACTGACCTTCGTACCGTGTTGTTTCGTCCTAGTCCTCCTCGTTCTCCTCCGTCTGTCCTTCCTCGCCCTCTTGAGTCTTCCCTCACTGCCTCCCTTTCCGCTCCGGTCACGGTCCTCACTGCCGCTGTCACGGTCACGGTGCCTCTCCTTCCTCCGTCGCGGTCCTCACTGCCGCTGTCACTGACTTTACTGCTACGCGTCGCCTTGACTACGCCACTCGTGTTGTGGCCGCTCCTCCTGTCCGTCCTCTGGCCGTCGAGGGTGAGTCTGCCCTTGGCTGTGACGTCCTAGAGGACAGACAGTTTGAGCTAGAGTTCCTGGCAGCTGCTTCGCCTCATCTCTGTGCCATGCTCCTCGCTCCTGAGGGAGACCCCGAAGCTCTTGACATACCTACTCCTCGCACTTACGCTGAGGCAGTGTCAGGGCCTTGGGCCTCTCAGTGGAGAGCTGCCATGGACGCAGAGATGGCCTCCTACAGGTCCACAGGCACTTACGTTGACGAGGTTCCCCCCCCAGGGGCGAACATAGTTGACGGCATGTGGATCTTCAAGGTGAAGCGGCCGCCGGGATCTCCCCCAGTCTTCAAGGCACGCTACGTGGCTAGAGGGTTCAGTCAGCGCGAGGGGGTTGACTTCTTTCAGACCTTCGCGCCCACCCCAAAGATGACCACTCTTCGGGTGTTACTTCACGTAGCGGCGCAGAGGGACTACGAGCTACACTCCCTCGACTTCTCCACTGCCTTCCTGCAGGGCAGCCTACACGAGGAAATCTGGTTGCGTCGTCCTCCGGGCTTCACTGGCACCTTCCCGCCTGGGACCCAGTGGAGCCTCAGACGACCGGTCTACGGTCTCCGCCAGGCACCCCGTGAGTGGCACGACACTCTCCGCTCTACTCTGTCCGACCTCGGGTTTCAGCCGTCTTCCGCCGACCCGTCGCTGTTTGTTCGTCGTGGGCGCACACCTTTCTTCGTTCTGGTCTACGTTGACGACTTGGTTTTTGCCACAGCCGACACAGTTGCACTGGCGGAGGTGAAGTCCGAACTGCAGAAGAGACACACCTGCACTGACCTTGGGGAACTGCGCCGCTACCTTGACCTGGAGATCTCCAGGGACAAAGCCGCTCGCACCATCACCCTGACTCAGTTACACATGGTGCAGCAGGTCCTTCAGCGGTTCGGGCTTCAGCACTCTTCTCCTACACCCACCCCTCTTGCTGTAGGCCATAGACTCACTGGGCCCTTTCTTGATGAGCTGTTCGAGCCCAGTGGTCCCTACGCAGAGCTGGTGGGCTGCCTCATGTACCTGATGACGTGCACTCGCCCGGACCTCGCCTTCCCTCTTAGCATCGTTTCTCGCTTTGTTGCAACACACCGTCCTGTTCACTAGACGGCTGCTAAGAGGGTGGCAAAGTACATCGGTGCGACATCAGACATGGGGCTTGTATTTGGAGGGACACAGCCAGTCGTACTCACCGGTCACTGCGACTCTACGTACGCCGACGACGTTGAGACTCAGAGGTCTACGCAGGGTTACTGTTTCAGTCTAGGCTCAAGAGCTGTTTCGTGGAGGTCTACTCGGTCCTCCTCTGTTGCGACTTCTACCGCAGAGGCCGAGATCTACGCTGGAGCCCTTGCTGCACAGGAGCTACGCTGGTTGACCTTCTTGCTCACTGACCTTGGTGAGCGGCCGAGCTCTGCACCGACCTTGTTTGCTGACATGATTCTCCTGTGTCGTGAGCCTCGACTGGAGAGCAGAGTGAAGCACATCGACGTCAGGTACTTCCTCCTTCGAGAGTTGCAGAGACGCGGTCAGGCTCGTCCGGACTTCGTGACCTGCGAGGCCAACACTGCAGACATCTTCACCAAGGCTCTTCAGCCTTGTGACCACCGCCGGTTCTGTCTGCAGTTGGGCCTCGTTGAGACTGGGTCGAGTAGACTGCAGTAGTGAGTGCTTGTCTCTTGTCTTTGCTTGTACTGTATATATTTGCATATACACTCTTGAACTGGCCTTGTGGCCGTTGTTTTCGCTCAGACTATGTGGTGACGTTGTGATCCACCCTGAGCTTTGTTTTGTCTTTTGTTTGTGACTGGTCTTGTGACCTTAGGTTGTTTGTTGTTACTTTGCACTCCCCACTTAGGCTATGGGGGTGTGTCAAGTGGGTTGTGCAGTAGGGGTTACAAACAGTTAGGAGTAGGAATATGTACCCCAATCCATCCAATGCAACACATTCCGCTGTTTTCACTTACTAAGAAATTTGACCCAGTTCAGCAAAGTGACCAGTTTGACCCAGTTCAGCAGATTGACTAGTTTGACCCAGTTCAGCAAAGTGCCCAGTTTGCCAAGTTACAGTATCGCGCCAAGGACATTGTCGCATCAGCTCACAGTCCCTCTCACGCCTGCCCTTTATGAACTCTGGCGGCGGTTGTTAGCCGAGCCAGATGGTGTGCATGGCGGTTCTGGTGGGATGCAAGTGCAACGCTGTGTTGTGTTTTGTATTGAGTCCATTGTTTTAGTTGTAGAGGAAATGCAACAGCAAAAGTGAGTGAAGCGGTAAGAGCATGAGTGCAAGAGTGTGCGTATACTGTGTCCCCCTGAATTGAAGCGCGCCCTTTTCATTGGCGCATGCGCTTACATCTTGACTAATGCGCCTATGGGCAATTCCTGTACAAGTGCATGTACAATCGGGTGTGATGTTTTAATAGAGTGTACAAAATGTTTACTTGAAAGTTTTATGGAATTTCCAGTAACGAACTAGTCTCTGTTTGCTCAGCCACAGAAACAGGTCTCAGAAAGTTGAAATATCACAGGTTCAGGGTTAATTGGTGGTTTCCCGCCAAACCACACTCAACTTGCCTAGAAGTGTTGGCAGGGATCGTTCCTTGCCAACTAGCTCGAGATGCTATTTGCGACTCAGTACCATCTCAACTCGACTGAAATCACTGTGTATTGATCTCCAATTGTGTGACTTTGAAGTTATTTTTTGTCCTTTATTGGTGGATACCTTTATAAAATACACCACGGATTTTAGACTAATAGTACCGTAGTATGATATAAGCGCATAGGCGCTTCTATCTGTGGGGATATGGAATAAGGGCTCTGGATTTGGGGACATTGTTTCTGCTTGCTGGACTCAGATAAAGCTCTGCTTAGGAATGTTTGAAAAGTTGGATTTACAGCGTTTGAATTCTTCGGTTCCTATGCTATGACGATGCTAACCTACGATGCTGACCATTGCTACATTTAGGAGATCTCTAATCTCATCAAGCACGTTCAAATACCATGCCTTCATCCACGTGGACTTAGTATTCTTAAGCTTCTTGCAGGAACTTGTCAACCCTGTCCAGATGAGCCCAACGAAGACCTTCTTTAGACCACTCATACACGACATTTGCCCCACCAGCGACAAGAGTGCATAATGTTCAAAGTGTCTACATGAAGATTTAGTCACGCAGATGATTGGTCTTCGAAAGAGTTTCCTTGCAGGAGTTTGTCAACGCACTGCAGGTAAGAATCCTCATGCAACGATGAGCCCTTAGCCCCTTGGGCTTGCTCGTCCACTTTGATTGCTGCAGCCAGCTTCTCTCTCCCCACCACCTCATTCCGGGTGTTCTGCAGCTCATTGACAATGGCTGCCATGCTGGGCCGGCTGGCACTGCGCTCCACAGTGCAGGAGAGGGCCAGCTGGGCCAGGCGCAGCACAGCATCATCCGGGGCGTCCATGCCGAGATCCTTGAGGCGGGCCGGGTTGTTGGAGGAAACACACTCCTCCACCTGGGTTGAGGGTTTAGGGTTTGAACAAGGTGGGAAGGCATGACAAGTTCAGCTTGAGACACACAGAGATTGAACCTTGTCTATGTGCAATTTAGCGAGGAACTGGCTTTTGATGAGTGTGTTAAACCATATCAGAGTCGGTGACACGTGCAGTGCTATGTTGGAAAATATGCACACTGTGCATCGCATGCGCTCGTATGACACACTCCTGTGCATTCGCAATACGCTTTATTTTGAAGCTTCAATGCGCTCAAAATATGGAGTGTTAGGCAGGGTAAGAAGAGGCAGGGGCAGGGCAAAGTAATCCTCAAGGTGAGGGTGCAGATGAACACTGCGTATCACAAATTTGTGTAGCACCCGTATCACAAATTTCAATATATACGCAAATGAATATTATTGATTCGATTTTGCCCTGAGAGTTTTTCCAACATAGGTGCGGTGCGGGGCACCTGCCCTTGAGATATGCGATGGTGTGACACCCCGTAACAGTAGTGCCTCTAGCTGTGCCATATGCAACAGTGGTGCCATGCGCAACAGTGGTGCCATGCGCAACAGTGGTGCCATGCGCAACAGTGGTGCCATGCGCAACAGTGGTGCCATGCGCAACAGTGGTGCCATGCGCAACAGTGGTGCCATGCGCAACAGTGGTGCCATGCGCAACAGTGGTGCCATGCGCAACAGTGGTGCCATGCGCAACAGTGGTGCCATGCGCAACAGTGGTGCCATGCGCAACAGTGGTGCCATGCGCAACAGTGGTGCCATGCGCAACAGAATATTATGCTCTAGCCTGTAGTGGGGTGCTCTATAGCGAGTACAACCCTTCTAGGGTTTGCTATTTGTATCCCCATTCTTACTAGTGCAACCTCTCTTTGCCTAAACTTCTCTTGCCTAGCTAGGGTTCTCCTAGCTATGGCTCCTAACTATCTTTACTATCTTGACATGCTATCAGAGCAGGTCGATCCCTTTGGATCGATCCTGTGGGTGGGCTCACCACCTCGTTGCTTCCGCTGCAACTTCCGCTGCTACTCTATGTGCCGCACGCCCCGTGGCGTGCGGCAGTTTTTTCTTCCCGCCGTGCGCCCCGAGGCGCGCGGCGGTTTTCTGCCCGCCGTGCGCCCCGTGGCGCGCGGCGGTTCTCTGCCCGCTGTGCGCCCCGAGGCGCGCGGCGGGCTTCTGCCCCGTCACTCGACGCGTCGCCCCCGGGAGGCGTTGCGACGGGCGACGGGGACCCGCGCGTCGCCCCCCGTCGCCCGTCGTGGCCTGCGCGCGGCCCGTACAGCCGGCGTGCGGCCCGTACGGGCTGCGCCAGGCCTGCGCGCGGCCCGTACGGGCTGCGCCAGGCCCGCGCGCGGCCCGTACGGGAAGCGCCAGGCCCGCGCGCGGCTCGGGCCGCCTGCGCGCGGTTCGGGCGGCTATGCCAGGCCCGTGGGCGGCCCGTTCCTCGCTGCCCCTGCCCTCCCCACTGTCCCCCGTGCTTCTACTGGCGCCCCACCCCTCCTACAGCCCGTTCTCCTGAATTAGGGTTTGGGGGTGAGGGGTATGGGGGTGAAGCCACTGAGTGCCGTTCCCTGTTCCTCCTCCTCCTCCGTCTCCCTGTGCTGCAGCTGCCGCTGAGGGGGGGTGGACTTGTTGGAGCCGTTGGAGTGGTACTAAGGGGGGGTGAAGGGGGAGTGGAGCTAGCGGTGTAGCAGCGGGTGTGTGTCAGGGGGAGTGGGATAGTTTGGGGAGGTTGAAGGGGGTGGCCGCCGTGAAGCCAGCAGCTCCAGTCGCCCGTGAGACCGTTGCGCCAGTCGCCCGTGAGCCCGTTGCGCCAGTCGCCCGTGAGCCCGTTGCTCCAGTCGCCCGTGAGTCCGTTGCTCGTCTGCCGCTACTTTCAGCCGCGGAGCCAGTTACTCCAGTAGCCCGTGTGCCAGTTGCTCCAGTTGCCAGTGTGCCAGTTGCTCCAGTTGCCCGTGTGCCAGTTGCTCCAGTTGCGCCGTGTGCCAGCAGCTTCAGCTGCCGCCCACTACCTCCTCTCCTCTCATAGTCTCTTTCCTCCTCCTCACTTGCCCGTTGTGACTACCACTAGCTTTGCTCATAATTGTGAACTTTAAACTATTGCTTCTTGAACTTGTGCTCAGAATGTGTGGTGACATTGTGATCCACCCTGAGCTTGTACTGCTTTGCTTGCTCTGCTGATTACACCCCACTTTGGCTATGGGGGTGTGTCAGAATATTATGCTCTAGCCTGTAGTGGGGTGCTCTATAGCGAGTACAACCCTTCTAGGGTTTGCTATTTGTATCCCCATTCTTACTAGTGCAACCTCTCTTTGCCTAAACTTCTCTTGCCTAGCTAGGGTTCTCCTAGCTATGGCTCCTAACTATCTTTACTATCTTGAAAGTGCCATGCGCAACAGTGGTGCCATGCGCAACAGTGGTGCCATGCGCAACAGTGGTGCCATGCGCAACAGTGGTGCCATGCGCAACAGTGGTGCCATGCGCAACAGTGGTGCCATGCGCAACAGTGGTGCCATGCGCAACAGTGGTGCCATGCGCAACAGTGGTGCCATGCGCAACAGTGGTGCCATGCGCAACAGTGGTGCCATGTGCAACAGTGGTGCCAATTGTGCTGTGCACATGCTTCGCTTGAGAGAGGGCTCACCCATTTCAGAAAGGGCACACTCTCTCCATCAGCCGAGGCGGATGGGCTTCGACCAGTGAAGACCACAAGCATGAGCACACCGAAGCTGCACACACAGAAGGGGACAAAGGGGGAGGGAGTAGGGAGCAGGGGACTAACACAACGATATGAAGGATGGAGTTGTGCGCCGTTCAGTTTTTGAAGCTGCGGCCAGTGAAGACCATCGGCCAGTGAAAACCATCGGCATGCGCACACTAAACCTACCAAAAGCAGGATGTTGATACGCAAGGTGGTGTATCACACATACACGAATACACGGTGCATGTGTAATTGGATAATTGCACCGTCACCAAATTACAATACGATACAATAAGCACACAATCAATAAGCGGCAGCAGAAGCATTTACACCCAAAATTCAGCCACAAATTCAGACGCCTCTAAGATCAGCTGCTAGAACAGCAGTGGTGACTGCAGACTCACCTGTAGACATCAGTAGCCCGGGTAGCCTTGGAGGTGCGTGAGTAGATGGGATCCACATAGCCCGGTGTTCCCATCACTCGAGTCGTGCCCACGGTGGTCCCCTCCTCCTCCCTCACAAGTCCAAAGTCCGCAACCTTGGCCTGATGGATGGCATGAGTGGGAAACAAAAGAAATGCATCAACATCTGGAATGATAAGATGCTTTTCTTGTAGCAAACGTACAACAGAAGCAGGTCTTGTGAGAGGCTTAGCAGACTCAGAGTTCAACCCAAAGACTGCCTCTTCACACATATCCAAAATGGCTGTTGTACAGACGTAACATCCTTGGTGCTCTAAACCTCAGCGTGTGCCTCGGATCAGGATAACAAGAAGCATACGCACATTACCCACCTGACTGATTTTGTTTAAAAAAAATCGAGACCTTGAGGAGAATTTTATCGAACTTGCCTGCATGCTTGCTGTGAGCAGAATGTTGGCGGGTTTGATGTCGCGATGCACAAGGCCAAAGCTGTGGAGCTACTCCAAGCCACGTGCCGCACTAATGAGGATGTCCAGCTGCTGCTTCAAGGTGAGGCGAGAGGGCGCTTCTGCAATGATAGAAACACAACATGAGTGGGCTGCATATGTGTGTTCTCTTTTCACAAGAAAATACAAACACGGCCGATGAGGAGCACATACTTGCACCGATCCATGTCTCAAGGTCACCGTTGGGAAGATACTCGTAGATCAGGACTTGCTCCAGCCGTGTCCTCATGTCCCCTCCAACAGCAAACCCGAGCAGCCGCAGATGTGGGGATGGTTCTTGTCAGCCATTTGTCGGACCTGTGAGGAGAGCACGCACCCGTAAAATGGGGCGAAAAGACCAGATTTTGCAACCCGAAGACCATCACGCATGGCTGAACCACATGGAAGGCACACATGCTTTTAGAATGGCGGAGAGTTACATTGGTTCCATGAGTGCCATGTTCAAAGCATGCCATACAAAAGGTTTCTTACTTGCAAAATCTAAGCCCTGTATGTGGTCACTCACCTCTCGCTGGAAGTCAGCATTAAGCAGTTTGGCTCGCTTGACGGCCCACAGTGTGGTGCCATCGCGCGGAGACACGCCCTTGTACACGTCACCAAAGGAGCCCGACCTCAGCTGGTTGTCACTCGCCCAGTTGCTGGTGGCTGTGAGCACTTCCTCCAAAGAGTACTCCGTGCAGTGCGAGGCCGCCACACTGCCTGCCAGACCTGCTCGCTCATGGGATCAGGAGGAGAAAGTGCCCGCGTTGACAGGCATTGACTATGACAGTATGCAGCGCACTTGCAGGCATTGACTATGACAGCATGCAGCGCACTTTGCATTGTGGTAGTGTACTAGCCTAGCCGCTATGACAACATGCAGCAAACTTGGGAAGAGGAATACATGCGCAGAGCACTCGCACAAATTTTGGTGTTCTTGTCGTGCAAACCGTCCATTGCCACTGCGTTCGTACCCAACGCGTTGCGCATGTATCTGAATTCAAGGCCGGCTTGATGACAATGAGGGCAAAAGGGAAACAAAAACCGTTATTGTACCTCCAGAATCCGCTTTCACTTCCACTACTGCATCCTTGACCTCCTTGTCTGCTGCTGCTGCTGCTGCTGTTGCTGCTGCTGCTGCTGCTGCTGCTGCTGCTGCTGCTGCTGCTGCTGCTGCTCCCTGTGCGCTTCCTTTCTTGTAGCTCCGCCAGCACAGCAGCCCGCCAACCAGCAGCAGCACCAGGAAGGCAACAGCAGCCACGGCAATGCCAGCAATGGCTGCTGCTGAAAGCCCGCCGGACTGGGAGGTGGACGATGCAGGCGAGGGGGGTGGCGCTGGGGAGGCAGTTGGGGGGGATGGGGACGCTGTAGTGCTCCCTGGCGATGGCGTGGGGGACGCTGGAGCTGGCAAGGGAGGGGGTGGACATGGCAGAAGAAGGGATGGACAAAGTTGTTTTGTCTAAAACATATAACATAACTTATGTGACAATTTAAGTTGGATTTTTGCAGTCTCAGAAGGGTTGCAGCACTGGCAATGCTTACCAAGGGAATGTTGGCCCGTGCATGCATGGAGATGGGGGTGCATGCATGGAGATGGGGGTGCATGCATGGAGATGGGGGTGCATGCATGGAGATGGGGGTGCATGGGAATGGAGTGCCTATGCTCGCTGAATCTGAATGGCACTCCAAGGAGACAGAGCGCAGAAGGGGATGGCCGAGCAAAACGGTTGGCCTCACGATTTGCTATATTAACACAGGCGGTGCAGAAGGAGGGGCACTGGCGGCAAAAGGCACTTTCAAGTTGCTGTTGTGCCACGCATGGGGTGTTGTCAGGAGGGCATGTGAGGCCAGTTCCACTCACATTCCTGTATGTGCAAATGCAAGCGAAAAAAATATACATCTGAAGGAGTCACTGCTTGGAGCTTGATCCCAGAAGGGATCCCTCACATAGGACGAGAAGCTCCCTCGGCATAGCACACAGAGCAGTGCAATTCCCATTTGCTGGTTTCGTTAGAAACATCAGTCTGCTAGATTGGGCTGGTTGGCATGTTGCATTGATGGGTCAACGCGCGCATCAACGCTATTTGGCAGAACATGAGCAACGAGGCAGAGGCAACTAGTTTGGCTGTGGTTCAGACGTGACTTGTTAGGAAAGTGCTGTCAGTCATAGAAGACTAGAGGAGCGCTCACAAGTTGGAGAGTAGGGCAAGGTTGCCTATGAACTGCGGAATGCTGCCTGACAGGCTGTTGTTGGCAAGGTCTCTGATGGCAGCACACCACACACACACACACACGCGCGCACGCACGCACGCACGCACGCACACGGCATGCGCTTGGCAGGCTTAGCCCAGCACTACAAGAGAATTGGATTCCATCAACCAAGAAACAACCAAAAGGCGTCTAGATTGTAGAAGCCAACGAAGGGAAGTTCCAAATCAGCTAGAAAAATGTTTGGCGAAAAATGGGTAACATGCAGAACTGCCAGGTTTGTAAGGCACGAGAAGGAGCTTGGCATGGGACCAGTTAGTGAGTTTAATGAGAGGTTCCTGCACTCACGAGAGACAAAAAAGATTTGGGAGAAGAAAAAGTTAGTTGCTAAGCAAAAATACCAATCACAGGGACAGGAGGGAATGTGAGAGAGCGCAGTCCTTTTGTGCTTGCATGGAGAAGATGATGAATCAAAGGATGCCTGTGAAAGTGTATGAGTTTTGAGACGTCTCAAAACTCGATGATAAACCAAGGAACTTCCATATAATTCCTGCGATATGAAAGAGTATGAACAGTATGTCAGTCATGTGTGTGTGCCTAGAGTCACTCACTCACTGGCAAATCTCTGCAAGCTGCTGGTTTGCGTCGTGTTTCCACAAGAAGGGCTGTTTGGTTCAGCCCTGATGTGGGAGCTCGTAATGAAGTATGGCTTGTGTACCGTTTCCCATTTCCCTTCAAGCATGTCTGACACGCTGTGGATCGTCGCCCTCAACGCTCAGTGTTTGTGGACTTTACGGCCATCTCAAAGCGGCAACTGTTTTTGAGCTGCGTGACTGCCTGCGCGTCCGACTGCAGTCATCAGTTGTCGGTTGTGGACCATAAAAAAGAAGGCAAAATGTGATGGCTTTCTTCACATGCTCGAAATCTGAATACTCGCTCTTTACATGCTCAGAGTTTGAATAGCGCCTCGAGAATGATGTGCTCAAGTGAATCAAGAAAGCTCGTGAATCGTGAACATGTGCAGTGGTACGATAAGATGGTGCATCACAGGCGACATCCCTTGATACTAGCTACAACCTTGTCCCAGACAGGAGGCGCAGCTGCAATTCATAATTGTTACATTGGACACAGGCCCTTGTCGGGAACATCATTGCCCAATCATTTACGAGAAAAATGCACCCTGCGAACTGGCAAATCCAGTATCACAGTACGCACAAGTTTGCCAGGGTGCTGATGCGTCCAATGGCAGGTGGAATGGAAGCGGTCAAGCCATTTGACGACAAATCCCTGAGAAGCAAGTAGCATGAAACAAGCATGGCATAGAGAGAGATATTCACTTGGGAGAGAGACAGGAGTACAGTTTGTTGTATGCTGCACTTTTCAGGAGTTGGTTCAAGGGCCAAAGTTCACTCGAGTGCCCAAGCGTGTATGTAACACAGGGCCAAGGAAGACCCTCCTTTCCTTCCTCCAGCGGGGCCAGCTTGGAACAAGTGAAGCACTTGCCTGGGTCGTGGTGCATCTCCAGGATTTCCATGCGTGTTAACAAGCAGCTTGGTGTCAACAACATGATGTTCAAGATTTGAGAAAGTGTCCAAATACAAACCGGATCTGAATGGTTATGCAGATTGCACATATTTTTTGGTCAATTATTCCTCCTCAAATCACATGATTACTACCCTAAATTCGCATTCACCATGGCTTGCACTGTCAGGTCAAATCAATTTGTCAGAGTTGCATTTTCTGGGTAGAGGAGATAGGAAGGAACCTTCAGGGTTGGGGCTCACGAGCCTTGCTACTACAGCACTTGGCAGCAATC